TATGTGTATTTATGTGTATATTTTAAAGATCTCAAGTTCAAAATCAAATACTGAACATCCTATACGTATATTTATACAGATTCTTGTTGAAAAATAGATACTTTTCAGTAGTAGTTTTACATGCTCTTTTTAGAGTGTACTTGCTATTTATTATATTTACTTTGCAAAATACTTATGCACAAATAATGTACTTTATAAATTGAAATTACAAATGTTTGATTTTATGCACATGTATTCCAAGTCCTTAGGATGGGTTAAATTATGTCTTTTTCATGAAAATGTTTGGTTTTCTTACAAATTATGAGATGTATATGTAAAATAAAAAATTGGATACATTTGGATACATTTTTGGCTTGGTCAGGGATACATTTTCTTGAGACGGCGCAGCAACACTGGTTACATCCCGAGCTAATAAAAGGGAGGTAAAAACAACAACCTCTTTATAAGCCGCCAAGAGGATCGGCATTGGTGAACCGTATGAAATCGATGTATGAAGAACTGAAAACAAAAGTGAAAATCGATTTAAGAAAAGCAATTTCGGTTTGTCTAACCACTGATATTTGGACGCATCAACATACTATGCGTAGTTATCTTGGATTAACAGTACATTATTTAAAAGGTAAATTTAACGTTTAATAACACTCATATATCTACGCTCATGTGCTTATGATGTGATGATGATGAGCGTAGATATATGAGTGTATGAGCCTGCGAGCAGGGCTGCCACTGACGAAAATAAATACTTACCATCTATTTCATAAAAATCTACCAAATCAGGAAAATATGTACCAAAAACTTTTTTAGTTATTTAAAAAAAAAAAATATTGATTTGATTTTTTAGTTATTTCAATAAAAATTTAGTACGTAATTTTTATTTAACCAATGATATTGTATTTGAGGTCATATTAATGACATCGTCGCGGTTTCCTTCAACTAAAAGCAAAAATGATGAAACTAAAGGCAACAACGACACTTCATCATTTGAAAAAACTACAACTGGAGTTATTATAGACAAATACAGTGACTCAAAGAATCGCTTGGCGATTTTTTATAATATTCACAATGTTTTTCAGCTAAAAATTTTTTAATTTTATTTTTATAAAAGAATATTGTTTGCGCTTTAAAGAAAATCATAAAAATCAAGGATTAAAGCTATGCATATACCACATTTAGAAGGATTTAACAAATTAGCGCCAAAATTTCGAACTTTTTCTCTGAATTTTTAAAACATTTTTGGGTTTACAGTTTTTAGTCAAAAAATGTGCACCTAAAAATTCCCGCTGATTTCAATTTTTTTTTGCACCGGACTTTTGTGTCTTTTTTAATGTAACAACTGCCATTTATAAAACCGGCGTTGATTTTTTTTTAAATTTTTTTTGCGAACAATCATAGTGTGTAATTACTAGACTGCAGATTTTTATGCAGAAAACGGAGCCTCAAAACACGTACCACTTAACTATAAACAAAATATATACGAGTTTATACACTTTGCTTATAGCTATGTGGTACATATTTCTAGGCTGCGTATTTTGCATGAAAATCGGCAATCTAGTAATTACGTGCCTGTTCATTTTTTATTTTTATTTGAAGAATCATTTAAAATATTTAGGCAATCAAAAGCTCGTCAGGATTCCAGCAAAATGAGTTTTGAATAGAACACGATATGTTCGCCTTTTATCGAAAGCGTTCGAAAAATAATGCAATTAAGTAGACTATACTTTTAGAAAGAAATTTTAAATAAAAAGATAAATACGAAAAATAAAACGAGAACGGAAAGTTTTAAAGTTCAAGTAAAATACTTTAACAAAAATCTACCAAAATGAGAAAAATTTTACCTTTTTACCAACCCAAATTTTTTCTACCAATTTTGGTAATAATTTACCCTGGCAACCCTGCCTGCGAGCCTCCGGGTGAAAGCGTATATGCGCATAGTTATCAAAATTTACCTTTTAAATAATGTACTGTTACATAACTTGTGAGTTTGCTGGTCATATAATTTACTTATATATCATATATAGAGTGTGAAATGAACTCATACGAATTGGGAGCGTATCACTTAACAGACAGAAAAACGATTGCTATCCTTAGATTAAAGCTTCGTGAAATATGCAATGAATGGGAGATTAATGATGAAAAAATTTGTGCGATACTTTCGGACGGCGGAGCAAATATAAAAGGCGCAATCAAAGAAGAATTTGGGGAAACTAAGCATATTTCATGTTGTGGTCACATCATAAACAATATTGGTCAGAATTTAATTGAAGTGAACTTAAACAAGCGCGCAAGTGAGGCAGATATTTCTGAAATTTCTAAATTAACCGACAAATATGATAGCGACCTTGATGATTTGTCTGATAACAATTGCCAACAAGCCACTATCAGAGATCTTTTAACAAAAGCAAAAAAATTGTAAAATTTTTCTGATGTAGTGAAGTTGCTTCACGAGAGTTAGAGAATTTACAACAACAGTCAGGTTCCAAACCAGCTTTAAAACTAATTCAAGAAGTAAAAAACAGATGGAATTCATGCTATGAAATGCATAAATCTTGCCGATTACGTAAGCCGGGTGTTGTCTCTCAAATAAATGACCAAATACAAATTTTTCAGCTTTGCTTTTAACTTTATTTGCACTAATTCATGTGCTACTTGCGCAGCGCTTTAAAAATATTTTGTATGGTTAATACGCGTGTCAAATACAAGAAAGACCCAGAATTTTACTCTGGCGGTGTTATTTATACACTTATGAAATGAATACAAAATATAACGGTGGCTATTTAACTATTTACAAAATGTATGTACATACATATATGGCTTATTAATGTTGTAGTACGTATGAGTGAAGATGATTTAACTACACGTATACACTCATGTATATATAGGTATGCTAAGGTGGTAGGCAAAGTGATAAGTATACCCAGCGGCGGTGTAAACGAGTATACCCAGCGGCAACATTCCCCCCCTAGCAAAGGAATCGTGATGAGTATTGCTTAAGTATTGCCGGTGACATCCAACACTGCCACCTTGGTTGCGGGCCTTTGCATTAGACCCTTTTGCGTTTTTATAGTTACCCGTCGCACCTGTTCATCTTTTGCTTTTACGACATCAACGATGATACCCTTCGGCCAATAATTTCGCGGCAGAGTCTCATCAACAACAACAACGACGTCTCCGATTGCGACTGATGCCCGCTTGCTGAACCATTTGGCTCTACGTTGAATGATTGGAGTATATTCCTGCAGCCAACGTTGCCAGAACTTGTTAGCGAAGTCTTGTGTCTTGTGCCACTGCTGTCGTAGGTTTGATGCCTCGTTGAAGACTGATTTGTGTCCGTCGGTAGATCCGAGGAGCAGGTGGTTTGGTGTGAGCGCATCGTCGTCTGCGCTGTCGAGAGATACAAATGTGAGTGGTCGAGAATTGATTGTAAGCTCTACTTCACATAAGGCACTTTTGAGCGTTTCGTCTGTAAATTTGTACGAAGGGCAAATAGCATTCAGGACGGATTTAACGGAGCGGATTAATCTCTCCCAGGCCCCGCCCATATGTGGCGCCCCTGGTGGGTTGAATCGCCAAACGACGTCTTCACAATTTATGTTTAGCTTTTCGATACCATTAGCATTTGTGCGCAAGGCCTTTTCCGCAGCTTTAAAGTTTGTGCCGTTGTCTGTATAAATCTCGCGTGGTTTGCCTCGCCGTGCCACAAAGTTCAGAATGCACATTATACAAGAACTGACGTCTAGACTATGTGCGACCTCCAGATGAACTGCACGGACGCTCAAACAAGTAAAGATTACTCCCCACCTTTTCTCTCTGCGCCTTCCAATCGAGACATGTATCGGACCGAAAAAATCTATTCCGACATAGGTGAAGGGACGCTCAAAGCTTGCCAAACGTGCAGCTGGTAGCGGAGCCATTTGCTGAGTATTTGGCTTAGCGCCATCGTTCTTGCAGCGTTGACATGACCTTCGTATTTTGCGGTAAAGTACTCGTAGGCGTGGAATATAATATTGTTCGCGAATCGAGTTCAAGGCTGCTTCATGAAATTGATGATGATTTCGTTCGTGGTAATGTCGAACTATTAAAGCTGTGATTGAGTTGTTTGTCGGTAAGATTATAGAGTCGCCAGTTCTTAAGCTTTCGGCTCTTCCCCGTGATCTGAGTATACCTTCGTCGCTTAAATAGACATTTAAAGAGATTAGTTTGCTATCGCTTTCAATACTCTTACCGCATTTGAGGTTGATAACTTCTTGCCGATATTCACTCTGCTGTGCCTCTTTTATGAGCGCGCTCTTAGCTCTGTGGATAATCTTGTCACATACGCCGGTAGGTATTTGCTCCTTCTTTATCTTGGATTTTAGTTTTTCTACGAACAATATTACCATCGCCATCGTCAAGTATAATCGACGCCAGCTTGAGAACCTATCAGCATCGATTAAAGGTTGTGTGGTTTCGCCTTTGGTTATATGAAAGGTAAAATGTCGGAGTTCAGTATGCTCCACTGGTCCGAGGTCGTCGCATTTCGGCCAATCGGTTTGATTGAAAGATAAGAATTTCGGCCCGTGCAGCCAGATATCGGAACTTTGTTGCCGGCTGAATTTCGTTGCCAAGTCAGCAGGGTTAAGTTTTGAGGGAACCCAATTCCAGTCAGTGGCGTTGGTCGCCTCGAATACCTCGCCCACGCGATGCATTACATACTGTTTGAAATTTCTCGGATCCATGCGGAGCCATTTGAGCACGGTCTTTGAGTCTGACCACCAGAATCGAGCATGAATCGGAACTTGTAGTGCCTTCATCACATTGTTCGCCAATCTTACGCCAGTCACTGCAGCTTGTAGTTCGAGCCTCGGGATAGATACGGGCTTTAGCGGTGCTACTTTTGACTTAGCGGCCACGATGATAGTGTTGACTTCGTTTTTGTTTTTCACTCGCAAATAGCAAATTGCCGCGTAAGCATACTCGCCGGCATCTACGAAGGTGTGGATTTGGTTGCATTCGGAGTCTTTTAGAAGTTGTGAATAACATCGCGGAATCGTAATAGAGGTTATTGCTGGCAACAACGTCTTCCACTGGCACCACTTGTTGTAAAGCGGACCTGGGAGTGGGTCATCCCAGTTAATGGCCGATCGCCATACATCCTGCAGTAGTATTTTAAGACCTATGGTGTAATGTGCCACAAACCCGAGAGGGTCGAAGATGGACATCAACACCTGGAGTACTTCCCTTTTGGTTGGGACCAAGCTACATTGCAAGATGTCTCGTCTCATTTTGGAGAACCTGCAAATAAACTTAAAAACATCGTTAGTTGGATCCCAAAACAAACCTAATATTTTTTCTGCATTGCTTAAGTCCTTAGGAGTTTGATCTTCGACGGACTCCCCTGGAAGTTGCCTCAGAACAGCTGATGAGTTAGATGCCCAGTTACGAATGTTGAATCCAGCTTGATCGTGAATTGCTTTCACTTGCAGAGCCAGTTCCAGTGCTTCTTCTTCGGTATCGACGCTGTCGATGAAGTCATCGACGTAATGATGCTTTTGTATTGCTTCTACCGCTCGCGGTGATGTTTGCTTGTATTGCTCTGCATTTACATCTCGAACAAAGTGAGCAATGCATGGTGCGCAGCTGATGCCGAAGGTAAGCGCTTGCATAACGTAGATGTGAGGGTTATGTAACTCCTCACAGTTCTCGTGCCACAAGAACCTCTGAGCGTGCATGTCCATTTCTCTTACGCGAATCTGGTGGAACATTTCGGCAATGTCTCCACAAATAGCAAACTGCCCAGTTCTAAAAGCCAGTAATACGAAGACTAGCGAATTGAGTAGATCTGGCCCGCACAGAAGGAAATCGTTAAGAGCGGCTCCATCAGATTTGGCCGCAGCGTCCCACACAAGGCGCAACTTGCCGGGTTTGTTGGGGTTTAGTGTGATAAATATCGGCAGGTACCACTCGTGGTCGTATGATCTATTTACTTCGTCTGCAGTTAACCTTCTTGCGTAACCTTTGCTAATTAAGTTGTCTATTTGCTTCTGCATGTCACGTTGCAAATTGGAGTCCTTAGCTAACTTTTTCTGCATACATCTGAAGCGTTTAAGGGCGTTGTCGTAACTAGCTGGTAACTTTGCGTCGTCATGCTTCCACAACAACCCCACTTCATAGCGGCCCTCTCTTTTTTCACACGTTGAATTTAGAATTTGCAACGCTCTACAGTCTTGTGGGGACATGAGCTCTCTTTTTTGCGGCATCTCTAGGCTGAAGTACTCCTTGATCTCTTCGTGTAGGATTTCGTATTTCTTTTCGCAGTCACATATGTGAATATTCAATAGTTGTGAGTCAAAGTGGTTAGTAGTACCTCCCTGCAAGGTCCAACCTAAGCGACACTTAGTGGCGATCGGCTCAAGCCAGTGTCCCTCACGAGTTTTGATAGGCACCGCAAGTTTCCAACAATTGGCTCCTATTAGAATACCCGGCTCGGCATTTTCATATGACTCGATCGGAAGCCCGCGTAGATAAGGGTATTTCTTCGTAATTTTCTCCATATTAAGAGACTGGCTAGGCAAGCCCAGTCGCGAAACGGTGTGCACTTCATTTATTTCGTATTTTGCATTATCGTATGCGTTTGAAATCTGTATCGACGTTCGCATTGAGTCGCTTTCGATCCGTGTGTTTTCGCCGGTCCAGCGAAGGCACAGTGATTCTAGCTCGCCGTCCAAGCCCAAGGAATCATAAATGTGTTTTTCCATCAATGTCACGGATGATCCCTCGTCTAAAAAGGCGAAGGTTTTTATGGATTTACCCTTTGAGTGTATGCGAACGGGTATTATACGAAAACATGGTGCATCTTCATCATTACCTACATGAGTGTTTACCAGTTGATTATTTATTAGAGGTGGTGTGGTATTTTGCTTTTGCTCAGCATACGTAGATACGCTCTTCGGCGTGTTTTTATGAAGAAGCTTGTGGTGCTTTGATTGGCAACCATCGACTCCACACTCCCTGTTCGCATAACACTTTCGGCGGTGCATGTTAAGGCATTGTCTGCACAATTTATTGGATTTTACTACATCCCACTTGCGCTCCAAGGTGAGTTTACTAAATTCTACACACGTCTGTATTTTATGATCGGTGCACCCGCATAAAACACACCCAACTTTGTTATGATTTTCGACACCAGTTGCTTGCGTGTGTGCGTTAATTACGCCACTCTTTTTGGATACACGTGGTGTGATCACCTTACTTGCTGCTTCGGCTATTTGGAAAATCCAATCACTAAACGCTTTAATAATTGGTACTCGCTCGTCTCGCTGTAACATTGCCCAATTTAACTTGTGTTGGCTTGGAAGCTTGTCAACGAATTCCTTCACCAACATTGGATTATTCAGATGCGCCTCCATATGGCAGGCTTCCATCGTAGAGCAGATGTTTTGCACGCACAACGCGAAGTCGATAAGACTTTCCAGTTTTTCCTTCAGCGGTGGAATCGCCCTGGCTTTCTCCACCAACGATTCTAGTATATGCTCTGGACGTCCAAAACACATCTTAAGTGTCTGAATTATTTCCGGGACCATAGAGGGGAGCAATAATTTGCAGCGTACCGTCTCATAGGCCTTTCCCTTGAGACACTTCTGCAGCCGCATTAGGTTTTCGGCGTCGGTGTACCCCGCTACTTGCGTGCTGTTTTCGTAGTTACTTATGAACAGCGGCCAGTCATCCGGATTTCCGCTGAAGGTAGGCAAATCCTTTGGAATTACTTGTCTAGCGGCAAGCTGCGAAGAAGTCGGAGCTGTAGTTGTGCGGTTGATTCCGATAGACGAACCGCCTGCGCTTAGTATTTCGTACTTTTTTTGTAGATACCTTTGCTCTATTTTTCGCTCTTCTTCCAAGAGTTCCAATTGTAGTACGTGCTGTTGGGCTACGCTGTCGTAACCTTGAGTTGCATCAAGTCGCGCCCCACATTGAGCGCCAGTTATCGGTGGAAGTAGAGGTTGTTGCATAGCTTGCTGTCCTAGACCCGGGAGTTGCTTGGCAGGTGGGAACATTGCGGTTGAATATATCATTGGTGGGTTCGCGCGATGCGCATTGGAGGTGATAACGGCAGGAGTCATTATCGTTGCCGTTGATACGATGATATTGCTTGCTGTTGTAATTGAACCTATTGGTTGTTGACCATGTGTACCGAATGCTGCAGAATTATTATTCTGTACGTCCGTATTTGGCGACGATGCTGCTTGTGGTTGCCCGGTCGTTACCGTAGATATTTCACCATTAGATGTCGGGGGAGCGATAGTGCTCTTTTCAACGTGATTTGTCTGCGCGGATTCGCAAGATTTACAATTCCAACTTATGTTGGCCACGTTACTATTCACCCCGACACAATCGTAGTGGAACCACCTGTCACAGGAGTCGCACTGTACCATGCGGTCGGTATCTTTTTCACAACAATTATTGCAATTGTACTCGTTAGACATGTTTATTAACTTTTATTTTAAAGAAAATATTTTTAAAGATTTGTTGTCTCTCAAATAAATGACCAAATACAAATTTTTTAGCTTTGCTTTTAACTTTATTTGCACTAATTCATGTGCTACTTGCGCAGCGCTTTAAAAATATTTTGTATGGTTAATACGCGTGTCAAATACAAGAAAGACCCAGAATTTTACTCTGGCGGTGTTATTTATACACTTATGAAATGAATACAAAATATAACGGTGGCTATTTAACTATTTACAAAATGTATGTACATACATATATGGCTTATTAATGTTGTAGTACGTATGAGTGAAGATGATTTAACTACACGTATACACTCATGTATATATAGGTATGCTAAGGTGGTAGGCAAAGTGATAAGTATACCCAGCGGCGGTGTAAACGAGTATACCCAGCGGCAACACCGGGCACTCCTTAAGCTTCAAGGAGACAAGAGTTCCCGATCCACCAGACATTTTATCTGGTGACGAACTTGATGCACTTATTGAAGTCAGAGATATTTTGCATCCTCTTTGGATAGTAGCTCACGAAGTCAGTGCAGATAAGCACGTAACGTTAAGTAAATGCACCCCATTAGTTAAAGGACTAAAAAAAGTGAGTATTAAACAAATTTAGAGAGTAATGCTTCTTTATTGTTGCATATTTTGCATATCGTTTGATACATTTACAATACCAAACATAATTATATACATATGTAAATGGCAATGCTATCATTATGCTAACAAATTATGAAAAACACTAATCTAGAACTTTTAGAATACTACTATAAAACTGTGATTTTTTACTAAAATGTATTTTATTTTTATTTTTTCCAGGGAATTGATAGCCTCTCTCCTGCCACACTGAGTGGACAACAATTAACAAAGAACATGGCAGCGGAGATCAAACAAAAGTTTTCAAATATCGAACTTGTTAAATTTATGTCTCACAAGTGTACACACTTTCCCATTTTGCTATTCAGCATATGCGAGAATGAGTTTTAACCGTCAAATAGTGTACTCTTCTCGTCCGAAAAACTCACAGCATTTTATTCGGTGAGTTTTTGGTTGTGAGTTTGCACTCGGTGTACGCTACATTTTCTCACAGTTACAGAATGCAGCCCCTGGCGGGCATAGTAACCACGGACGCATCTACATATGTCAGCTTGGTTGAATTGTGCATTGAAAAATTCACTTTGTTAGGTCCACCACCTGGAGCGTTTGCTTCTGCTTTCGGCGGCACTTAGGGATTATAACCCTTGCTAAGCAGAATTCTCATTTTTGTGTTGCCGGAGAAGAGGGGCTTCCGCAATTCCGCAAAGGTATACAACATTTGTTGTGCATATAAGTCCGGCTACGCCATCCACAGTATTTTTGCGCAGAACCCACATTGAAATTTACAAAAGCGCATAGTGCAAACCGAATTTATTAATAAACTAGTGCTTAGAAATTTGAAAACTTTGTTCTAATTTAAATTTTAATTCTTTGACTACACGTGTATGATAAAGTTTTTAGATTCCGGTCATGCGTTTAGACACAACAACATAAAAACCTTGTGCAAATAACTAAACCGGACCCAAGTTCTCGATAAGGGGCAACAAACATTCTTTTTTGCTCGTTCATATAAAGCAGTGGATAAAAGTATATGTATATGCGAAAGGCAAATTTATCTGTAAATCTATAAGAACACCACTAATATTTCATGCAAAAATACATCGATTTACATTTTTATCTCGCTTCGGATTTGTTTTCGTACAAAATTTCGCAAAAAAACTGTAAATTTCTTACTCGTTCGTTTTTAGACATGCCATTCTTACGAATTTCGAAAATACGATTCGGATTGCAGCATACAATTTCTACTTTTCGTATCAAAATCCGAATCAGCCCTGCGAGATGTACGGATTTTTCCGTACGGTACGGATTTGAAGGGGTGAAAATGGTTGTACGGATTCAACGTACGAATTTTTAGCTTTCCGTGAAGATGTAGGGATTTTTGTTCGGGTTTCGGAGTGTCTTTTACATATTGTAAAAATCTTCCTTTACACATATCTCATAGGTTTCTTATAGTTCCTGAAGCTTCCATTTTTAACCGACTTCCAAAAAAAGGGGGTGATCAGTTCTTCGGAATATTTATTTTTTTATATTTTTTTTTTATGTATGTTACCGCATAACTTTGGACCGCGTCAACCGATTTCGATAATTCTTTTTGCATCGGAGAGGTAGTGTCTCAAAGGTGGTCCCATACTAATCTGGTTAGATCCGATCATTGGATCATGAAATATATATATATTTTTTATACGAGAATTGAAGTCGGTTTTGTTTTTTGCTTAAAAATTACTTGTTTTTATTAAAAAATGCTTCGTTTTCATACCTGGGACTTATCTATTAAAAAATTGATTATTTTTCACCCGATTTAAAAAATGAAACATGGCATTTAAAATTATGTATAACAATCTATTGGTAGACTTCGATTGTTGTGAAGTTTTGTTGCGTAGAATTAAAAATACCCCAAATTTTCTTTATTTTTCACTTTAACCATCGCTTCAAACATTATACTGCTACTCGGTAGGGTCGAAAACCTACCTGAATAGTTTTTTTGCATGTACGTAAGCTAAGAACACACGGCTTGCTAAAAAGTTCTAGTCAGAAAAATAATAAAGTTGTCTGTAAAGCAATCAATAAATAGGACTAGTGGCAATATGCGCTGCTTTATTTGATGTTATTAAAAGTCCGATTCCTGTGTTCACCTAAGTACAAATGATTTTTTGTTTTTTGGTCGCCAAACAAATTTGAGGGTACGGATTTTGTACGCATTTTTCATCCACTGTTGGAAACTCCGCCACCATCAACACAGAATTAATCGAAAGTGTAAACACCGTATAAACTTACCTTTGGTTTTCCTTTGTGCCTATTGGCAACCCTCGCTACTGTCAGTTTGTTGAAATTAAAAGAAACGATTTTCGGCTTCATTAGAAGCAGAAGCTTAAAAGAAAGCGGTTGGGAAACCCAAATGTAAGTATATTATGCTCCAAAATGTATTTTAAATTTAACTATTGATTTATTAAATAAAGATTTAAAAGCCCCCCTTTGCTGTAACGAACTCACACCGTGCTAAACAAATTGGTTGGACCGCCAACATTTCTTTTAAATATTTGCCGCATTTCTTGGAAACATCGAGTGTGTGTTCTGCAGCAGCAACAAATGTAAATTTCGCAGCCGTTACAGTGAACGTGGAAAAAATGTGATACAAATTTGGCGTGAGTTGCAAATAAGAACAATTACTTTTGAAAAATGGGACGAACCAAAAAGAATGTGTTAAAGCACACGAGCGCGACGGCGAGTTGCAACATGTGTGAAAAGCCGGATAGTGGACCGATGGTGCAGTGCGACGTGTGTGATGGATGGACACATTTTACGTGCGCAGGTGTGTCGGAGGACATAGTTAAAAAGGCTTGGAGCTGTAGTAAATGTCTCAATGCATCAACAAGTACAACAAAGACTGTACAAGCCGCAAAAACAACAGCTTATCAGGAAATTGGCATGCAGAATTATGCGAAAGAGGTACGTAATGAAATTGATGTAGCAAGTAGTCGTAGTTCGGGGAAATCGAAATGGTTCATGAAAATAGAACTGATGCGCCTTGAAGAAAAGAAAAAGGCTGAATTAGCGTATTTAGACCAGAAGTTTGAAATTATGCGCAGATATGAGAGTGCGGTGGAGTCGGACGACGAAGTTGGTGAAGAAGCATTAAAGGAAAGTAGAGCTGTGGAATGGGTAAGCGGCAAGGTCCAGGGCGATGTAGGTAGGGCTGAGGAAGGGCAAGGTAGTCTGGTTATAGGTCAGGAAGAAAGGGCGCGGATGCAGGCTCGCACAACAGCGGCGGTGAGTGTTGCCGGTTTGAGACCGGAGCAAATAACCGCGCGACACGTGGTGCTAAAGGATCTGCCTATCTTTGGTGGCAAGCCAGAAGAATGGCCTTTATTTCTTAGCAGCTTTGAAAACTCAACGCGACGGTGTGGATTTAACAACGAGAATCTGCTTAGGTTTCAGCGTGCTTTAAAGGGAAAAGCGCTTGAATATGTGAGCAGTAAGCTGATGATTCCGGGTCTTGTGCCGGAGATAATTTCTACTTTATGAATGGTGTTCGGCAGATCAGAGCAGATAATAAATAATTTGCTAGTTAAGCTACGTGCTTCTCCACCTATCAATGTTAATAAGTTCGATACTTTGGTAACCTTTGCGCTCGAGGTAAAAAATTTAACTGCGACTATGGAGGTATCAGGGCTTGAGTCGCACATGAACAATCCGCTACTAATACAGGAGCTTATCGAGAAGCTGCCGGCGCAGATGCGTCTTCAATGGGCATTGTTCTCCCGGTCATATGCGATAACTACCGTGAAAGTCTTTAGCGAATGGCTTTTTGATTTAGCAGACGCGGCTAGCAACGTTGCATCGGTTACTAAACTAGCTAATTAAGAAACAGAAAATCGTAGGGTACACCGAGTGAGCTTCCATAACGAGGAACTAGAGACTAGGACTGGGTCCACTGGGTCTGTTAAGCGAAAGTTGGCCTGTTATTTTTGTGAGGAGGCACATCTCATAATGAAGTGTGATAAATTCAAAAAGCTGGGTTACGACCAAAAATGGAAAGCAGTGCACGATTTGAAGCTGTGTAAGGCATGCCTGAAAAAGCATGACATAAAATCCTGTCGAGAGAACAGAGTGTGTGGTGTGAATAATTGCGACCGAAGGCACAACCCGATGCTTCATAAACCCGAGGCAGCACCTGGAAACAACAACGCTACAACAGCCATGGTGGTAACGCATCACCAAGACACCCCTAATACTTTCTTGATGACTGGTCTGGTCCCACGCTAATAGAGAAGAGTGTGTTGCAGCAATTGCAGATAAAAGGAAAAAAGAAAGATTTATGCCTCAGATGGACCGATGGTACGATACGCTTACGTTGAATACCCGTGGAATCGTACTGCGGTGTTATA